GTGAAAACTGTGGGCCACATGGGGAAGTGTCAGAGGTTTTCCATCGCATGGTTGGATTTTGTTGGATTACAATGGGTTTGTTAATGTTTATCTTAAAATAGGGCCTATCATTCTTGTCCCCATTAAATTTGCCTGGGGAGTATGCCCCATCCCTCAGCCCTCTGAGCCACAGACCCAGGACCTTGTCGCATCTGCGTCTGCCCTGGTCCTGTCGTGGTGGCGCTGTTGCTAAAGTTTTTCGCGCGCTTCAACGTCAAACCATGGAACATGTAGTAGGTCATTTAGAATCTAAGACCCGGGCCCCATGGGCCCATGGATCTATTCTAAGAGAAGTGCCATGCCATGCACTCTCTCACTACTCATATCTACTCATCATTACTCATCCCAATTTTTGGGGTGTCCCAGTGTCCCATGGTGTCCCCAATCTGCCTGCTCCGTCGCCTGGAGCACCCCCGAGACTTCTACCATCACCTGTGAGGGGGCCCTGGGGCCCTAGGAGGGTGGCTACCTGTCAATCCGCCTTTGTGGTATATTTGTGATACGAATATGTTATCTATTTATCTATCCATCCATTCATCACTCACACACACACACACTTGTATATATATATATATGCATGTTTATTTGCATATACCATGCCTGAGAAGGGGGGACGAAAGCCAGCCCCTAGCCGGAATCTTTTTGGTTTTGCAAAGAAATATCGCGGTAGCCTAGGCTACGATCCAAGTTTGCCGTCTGAAAGGTGCCTGCATGTTCCTTTTTTTTCACACTTGTCCTTGCTTTGCAACCCTTCGCCACTCCTTCCTCGGTATCACTCCTCATCCCCTTGCAAGCTGTCTTGCTCCGAACCCCAACGGACGCTGCTCTCCGTTGAGCTTCGGATCCTTAGTTTTTCCATGTTTTTCCAATATGCTTGCCTCATCTTGCCTCCATGTTCCTAGCTTTTTCAAAGCCTTGCTTTTCCTCCATTTCATGCCTTTTTTTTCAAACCTTTTCCTGCGTTTTCCTACGGTTTTTCAAGAGTTTCCTTCCAGCAATTTCCTCATTTTCCCAACAGTTTCCTCAATTTTCCTTGGTTTTTCCAAGTTTGCCATTCATTTTTTCCTCCTTCCTCCATTTCCACCCGTTTTTAACGATGTTCCTTCATTTTCCTTGGTTTTTTCCTACCTTTTTCCTTCCGTTTTCAGGGGGCCTAGGGAGAATCGAACCGCACCGTCACCAAATTGCCTAGCGGCACATGCCCCTTTAAAAAATTCCAATTGGCCACCCTTATCACCACCCGATATCGAGATTTCGGTGCACCTGGGCAACCTCCCCCCCCCACACCCCCTCCTAGATCATCATGATCATCCTAGATCGTCCTGAAACAACTTACATGAATCCTAGACAAACTGAACAAGTCTAAAAAGATTGTAAAAGCATATATTATATATTCCAAGTCTCAGGTAATTCTGAAGCGTTTCCTTTCATGCTTCATGCGCACAATGACATTGGGGCACCTTGGAATCCGCCTCGTGGCGCAGTCATCAGCTGCTGCAAGGGTCCCTCCGGCATGACATCACATCAAACATATAAAAAATACACCCAGGACCCAGCACTTTTCTCAAGGACTGCTCTGCCCTTCAAGAATGCATAGAAGATCATAGAAGATACCAAAGCTCTCAATTTAATTCAATTTAGCAACGTGCTGGCGCCAAGGCGCTACTGCTTGATAGATCTTTATTCTCTTGAGACTGGTCTTTGATGTGCAACTCCATGCCATGCAAATGGCGGCTTGCAATGTGTGAAGGGTTATACTATATATATATAATTTCCAATCCTATAATTCTATACTGCATTTGAGATCTTTGAGTCAGTCAAGAATTGGATTAGATTCAATTGCATGTTGCATCTCGAAAGGCAGAGTCTGATCATGATCCGCCTGATTCTGAGCCTCTTGACTCAGCCTGATTCATCGAGGTGGATTTGCACGTGCAACAAAATCAACAAATATGTCGTGCAACAAACTATGCCAAACTTCTTAACCAATCTTAACCATTCCTCCGCAAAGAAAGGCGCCGACTCCATGCTCGTCTTGAACATTCTGAATGCGAGACGAGACCTGGGCCACACGCGAGCCACATCCACCACCAGTTGAGCACCCGAGCGCTCGCTCTCAGTCCATCGCGCCAATATATCCAGCAGAGTGCCAATGAGTACAACAACCTCGATGAGAAACCACCAAAAAATTATCTGAAATCATCTGAATCCATGTCAACTCTTGACGCATCAAGAACTCTCACACATTTCAAATCCAGAAAGGGTAAAAAGAGTTCCTTGACTTGCACGTGCCGCGCTGATGGGGGCAATGTGCAAAGAATATCAACGAATCACAATAACCTCCATCTCTGCAATTCCCTTGCCGTTGAGTCAGGAACATTTCTTACTACCTCAGTCAAGCGAACAGTCACCTCACAGCCCAGCACCGGTTTCAAGACCGAAAAAAGATAAACAGTGCAACATAGTGCAACTATATTTTGCAGAGGCACCCATGCCGCACTGCATACATGTTCCTCAATTTCAACCTGCGAACGCATTACGCGGACATCTCTACCAGAAGGTCAACAAATGCGAAACATTGCAATACCATGAGTGACATGAGGAAGCAAACATATCAAATATATCAAACATGCTGTTCATGATTGTTCATGTACAACTCAGTGAGTGTACACTTTGCGCGGTTTCTAGCGCCCTTCCGCATTTTCAGGATGTGCCTTGGTCCTTGCTGGAACGGTGTAGGCTGCAGTGCCATTGACCAAGCCGTCCTTCAAATAGATCGTGGAGTTGGCCCGCAGAGTTGCCTCCACCTGAGCTCATGATAACGCCATGACGCTGATAATATAACGCCACCAAGGATCAGTGTCAAAACCCACTGAGATCCTGGCATTTTTAGGGCAATCGGTGGAGAAGAAATTCTTTGCTCCAGGGTATGGGGTGGCAAGGATGGAGATGATGTTCACAAAGTCGAAGAACCTCACATCAAATGCCATCACACAAGCCTTCGTGCGCCAACCTGCGCGATCTGGTTTGGTTTTTCCTAGACGATTGTTTCCTTGTGAAGGGTGAGGCAGGCTATGGCAGGCTATTGTCAGCTTGATGCCAGAAATCCAGAAATCGCCATGATGGTATAAATAAATAACTAAATAAATAAATAAATAAATAAATATATATATATATAATGCAGGAGTTGCGTACTTCATTGGTGAACCCTCTTCATCCACGGCTGCTGCACAAGGCGGACTCCTGAGGACCGTGCGCACATATGATACCTAGCATCAATAGCACCATGATGCAGGACATCATGCACCTCACCACGGCAACTGAGGTTCTTGGGTGGGATATCGTCGTGGGGTGGGGTGTTGGATTTGTTGGCTGGTTTGGGGAAGGGAGGATCAAAAAAGTCCATTGCGTCAGGTTGTAGTGAAACCATGGCAAACCAAGACTCGGAATGCAAATCAATCTGATGCTCCCAAAACATTTGCCGGCAGGTGATGGCAATTTAGAGCAATGGACTGCACAAAAGTCGCTTTGGTAGCTCTGGGGTGTGGAAACCATGGGAAAAACATATCAACATATATCAACTATCAGATTCTCATCACCATCATGTACAAGTTGACGGTTTTTGCCGCTCCAAGGCTGCTGAGCCTCTGAATTGTCCATGGCTTTCTTTGGGAAGGTGCTGAAAGCACATAAACATACATAAACCACAAGCAGCTAACGGAAGTCCTGCCATGAACATGCCTTTGTGGCTGACCGCTATTCATTAACCACCATTTCGGGGTGTTTGAACCCTCCCAAATTGGAACAGTTAGATTGGGATTTGATATATTGCAGCATCACAGATCTTGGTTGGTTGACCCACCCCAAAATGGTAAAACACATGGGGCCCAAATCAAACCCTGGCGGCGCAACTGGGTGTTAGGGCTGGTCGGCTCGTGCAGCCATTGAAGCCGCAACGACCAACATAAAGACCTGGGTCCAACAAGAAAGCGTAATGTGGTTTAGTGATTGTTTAGTGTGGGTTTGCCCAGAAATAGGGGAGGCCACCAAATCCACCAAACGGCCATTTCAATAAGGAACATGCCGATCAACTACAAGATTCTGGGGCCATTTGCAGCAGGCTGCATGCTTCAACCCTCAGAACCAGGCGTAGTTCAGTGCAGAGTTCACGGCACCAACCGACAAGGCCGTTACGAGAAGTGCTGTGTAGCCAACCTCAACAGGTACACAGTTAGGACCAGGGCCCTGAAAGGTTTACCACACGGAATGTGCCCAAATCCGTCCAGGCTTTGAGTGCAAGACCACCAGCAGGTACAGGAAATTCTTGTACCTCCACCAATGGCATGTTGTGGCTTAGCACACATTTCGTTGAGAATATATAATTACCTTATCTATCCTTATTTTGTCAATTTTTGATAACCACAAAGTTGTCAGGAAACTCCGTTCTGTTGGCCTCAGAATTTCTGGTGGTGGCGGCCCCATGCTACCTGCCGCGTTTTTGGCAAGCATGACTACAATGAGTCCAAACTCCAAGATCATGGTGGGTCTTGAGGAAGGAAACTGTTGTAGTAGCTTTTGAGTCAGATGAAGCAAGAATCACAAGCCTCCAAACCCTAAAGGCACTACAATAAATGGTACTGTAACTACATTTAAATACACGGACTTTTAAATATACGAACAGGTATTTTAGACTACCTCCGGGAAGGTTATCCTTGGCCCGCCCGGCCATACGGAATCCAATTCATTTAAACATAAGGTAAGTACATTTAAATATACGAACTGCTATTTCATACTACCTCTGGGGCCTCACGGTGTGGCCCGCCCTCCACATATTTAAATGTTGTTTACCGCAAAATAAATATATCATATATCTAAATAAGTTTTTTTTGGGGGACCCAGTGGCATCCAGTGGATTTACCATCATTTACCAGCCTTAGACAACCTGGTGCGAGCTGCCTTTTGTCAGCTATGCGGTGGAATGGCCCGGTGACTTTGGCTGACGATCAATGGCACAGGTGTTCGGGGCGGCAACAAATCTGGGGCGCCTGGAAGCAACACATCAGTGTGTTCCCTGTACTCCTCCAACCCTTCCAGTGGTCGAATGAGCTCAAACTTGGCCACCAGCAACACGCCTTTGCGATGCGGTTCCGGATCGAAAGGCTGTACTTTGGTCACATGGTAGCCCAAATCTCTCAAGCCAGCAGCATCTGCTTGGAAAGCCTCAGCATCCACGGAGACATATACAATGGTGCGAGCGGCAGTGCATCGCAACCAACTTTGGAAGTATCGAGGGGTTCCTTTACCTTTCTTCCGGTTGCGAGGCTGGCATACCAGAACCACATCTGGAGGTTGCAGGGTCGGAGCTGCAATGTCGGTGCCAGCTTGGGTTAAACGAGTGTCACCATCCTTCAGCGATACTTCCATGGACTCATTCTGGGCTCGAGACCTCTCGCTGTTGCGCTGGCGACGCTCAGAACTCGTTCCACTAGCTGGACCTTTGGCCCAGCCCTCATCAATCTCCAGTTCGACTTCAAAATTTGACTCATCATCCCAGTCATCATCATCCCTGGCAGGCTTGGCTCCCTTCTTCTTATACTTCTCTTCATCAGGAAGGCCAAAAGCTTCAGCCACCTTGGCATCTGTGTCATCCATCTCTTCTTCAGAGCTATCTTCAGCATCAGGCTGCTTCTTGTTCCTGGAGCCCTGTTGAACCTTTCCCTCATAACGCCAGAAATGCTTGGCCTTGATTCTGTAACTGCTCTCATGTGCAACCTGGAACGGATCTTTTGCATCTTCATCGCCTTCTTCTGGGCCAGCGGTGTCCCCAACTAGGGCCTTGTATGCTCTCGTCAAAGCTTGGAATCTGTCAGATGCTTCAGGATCGTTGGGGTTCCTGTCAGGGTGGTATTTCATGGCCAACCTCCTGTAGAGACGCTTCAAACGGTTTTCCATTTCCGGTGTCACCTCACGCGTTTTCTCTTCCTCCGCTGCACCTTTGACTGGCACAGGCAAGGTGGTCAAGTTTGTGCAAAACTCATTGACAAAAGCAGGAAGAAGTGCCCGCAGTTCCTGATGAGCCAAGGCATCCTCTCTCAACAGTGGTGCGTTAAATGGTGCTGCTGTCAGTCTCTGGATCAGCCGTCGGCGACTTTCTCCAGGGACAAAGCAGGTTAAGGCGTAGTCACGAGCTTTATCCTGCTCTCTTCCATCACCCAAAAGGAGCCGCTTTTGCTGGGACTGAGAGATATGAAATGAAAGCTTCTTCAATGTGAAAGGACTCTGCAGATTACACAACACTGCAGTGGTGTTCGTCACCTCATTGGCCGCCAGATTCCGTTTCAACTCTCCCACCTCAGTGGCTGAGGTTCCAATCGCCACCACGTGTTGACAGAGTCGGCCTGGTGCCAAGCTGAGTTCACCACCACTGCAGAAGCAATGCCAAAGCACATCTGTATCACTCAAATCGCACATGTCGATGACTGTTTCAGATAATTCTCGCAGAATCCCAGCATGAGCTGCGATCCGCGAGCCAGCACCCATTTCAAGAACAAAGCTATGCATCTCCTTCATGAGGCCCAAAGGCATCTGGAAGGCTTGGCGGACATAGCGCCGACCATACAACAAGTATTCCCGCCTTCCTCCCATGATGGTCCGCTTGGAGCGTGCCATGTTGGCCACGATGCCCACCAAGCTGCTGGGTGCGGCTTCAACCACGGCATCTGCCAATGGTTGCAGTACACCCTGGACATCTTCGTTGTCATTTCCCAGCACGATATTCAGCAGCACCTCTGTGCGTCGCTTCCCGTCTTGCGGAAGTCCACGGCCCGTGAGCGCCACAAGGCTTCGGAAGGTGCCCCAACTGTGAACGTCGTTGAAGATGCTGTAGCTTCTTCTCCTGGACAAAAAACATCAAAAAACAATCAAACTCATACAATTTCTATTCATTTCATTTCATTTCTATTCCCTTCTCTGGCTTCATACCTATCATACCTATCATACCTAAACCGCCAGAAACCATCGAGAGAATTCCAGAAAAAACACAACGCAATATTGTGCTGTGTCACCCATGATATAACGCACGCACGCACACATATGTACAGTTATTATACGTATATGTATACTTCTATGATCTACGTGTTATACATTCTGTATGTTTCCACAATCTTCCACATATTTGTTCATCAGCTGCAAATGTCTGTTTTCCGCTCCCCACCACAAATGCACCATCATACACCATATACATCCAATTACATCCATATACACCAATCCCCAACATGATCCAACATGATCCAAACCCTCCTGCGGAGTTCTCTGAGCTGCATGAAGCTATCGACACAAATGCTCAACGTTCTGATGGCCGCCTTGGGGGCCAAAACACATCCGTAAAGGGGCTCGCCGGGTGGACGTTCTTCGGGCGCTCCGGGAGGACCGATCAACACCTCCCCGTCATCTTCCCGAAAGCGCCACTCAGCGCGTAAGGCGTAACGCTGCTGAGGGGTGGAAGGTCGGATCCTCCAGAGATGACCCCGTGCTATCCCGTGCTGGTTGGATGGTTTGGCTGTATAACTTTGTATAACTTGCCCAAGGGAGTTGTTGATACCGTAGTTCGTTTACACAATTGGTGATCGGTATGTAGTTTTGATGAATTGTGGACAAGTGGAAACTGAAACCTTCAAATTATATGTGAGTATTAGTAGAATATAGTAGTAGGATGATGTCAGAATCTGTTGTTGATGCTCATTCTCCCTATTCTCCCTGGGCACACTTAAAGTAAGTACGGTAATGGAAGCCACTCTCCAGAAACGGATCACAGGATCCACCCGACCTCTTGAGACTTTCCAGTGGCACTTTGCTCCCGTTCAGTGCTCGTTCAATCCAGCGCCTCTTCTCAATCAGCTGCCGGCCATAAGTCAAATCCAAGAAGTCACAACCACCACAGGAATTGTAGTGAGGACACGCGGGACGTACTTCATAGGCGCTGGGTTTCACCTTCTTCACCGTTGGATTCACGTAAACATCCTCAAAGTTGATGCCACCGCGAATTGCACTGGGATCATGCTTTTGAGAAATTATCTTCACAAAAACAACCGTCGGCTGCAAAACAAAATACGTCCTTCAAATTTCCAAACTCTTAATCATTCTCAATCTAATCCATCACTCTGGGAGTCCATGAAACCTTTCTCAATTGGTCTTCAAAAAGGCCCAAATCTTCGCACCGAGCAACGATATCCCCCAAGGGCCACCTCTTTTGTGTCACTTTCCCGAAGGCCACTGTCACCACCTCGCCCGGAAGGCCACGTGGAATCATGAACTCTTTGGTGACTACGAATCGATGCAGGGTATGCCAGCGAAACTTCACGATTCCGCCACCATCCTGGCAGTGGCTGAACCAGGCACTGAAGCATTGTGCACCAGCGATCACTGATCGTGTCGATCATTATTGTCCAGAAACTGCGATGCACATTCATAAACCATGCCATTGATTTCTACGTCCTTCTATGTCCTTCTATCAATTTTTATTCAAATCCCGTCCTTGGGGCAAATGCCAATGATCATCACATCCTGGGGCCAATCAGTTCGTGGCAAACCCATTCGCAGTGGCACTGCGTCACGGATCCGATCTGCTGCTCTCTTCGGGTTCGTCCTGGGGCCTGGTTTGTTCCACAGCTCCACCGCAAAGCTTCGGCAACCGCTGACAGCCCGTGGGCGGATGGGGCGGATGGGGCGGATGGGGCGGATGGTCAGCCCCATGGGCACCCAAAATGGGCTGAGGCTTCAGGTAAACCAGGGTAAACCATTGCGCTAGGGGGAAGATGGGGAAAGGCTCAGTTAGAATTGATTTGTAGCTTCCAATATCTTCCAATGACAAATGCTGCACACACACGCACACAAGCTGAAACCTGTAACAACAAAAAAAACAATGGTGCAATATGGATCAATATGGTGCAATCATGTGCAATCAGCAAGCTTTTGGTGCTGTCATTTCAACATTGTGTCCGATGACTTTGACTTTCAGAAACCTGCATTCCTATAATCCCTACCAAGGTGGGAAGAGCAAATCACCTTTGCTCTTGGACCTGAGATGGCACAAGCAACTAAGCCAAGTCAATCCAAACTTAGGACATTTATATAGTGGATGTCTTGGGTTGATTCAAAAATGGAGCAAAGCAACCTGATATTTCCTGGGTATTTTGATGAACGATCATGAGGATACACTCTCATTTTCATCGCCTCAGTAGACACAGGTACCCGACAAAAAAATGGACACTTCCATGTGGCTGTTGGATATCGGTGGCCCATGGTGGCCCCCAGCAGCAATACAAGGCCTGGTCCAAGACCCAGTGGAAGCATTTTGTCTGGCCTGCACACTGACATCCGTGCACTGCAGACGCAGCTTATGATGATGTGGATCAAAACTCGGGTACCAATGGACCCACTAAATTGGTGATTGTTAGATATCGTTAGTATTATATAGATTTAAATGGTATTAAATAGTATTAAATTTATTAAACCATCCATTCTGGGGGGTTGATTATTTTATATTATTTTGACCCATAGCCATGCAGTTTCGGCACCTCAAAGCGATGGCCAAGTGATTCAAAGAATTGGTTGGTCAGCTGAAGCCAAGGCGGCCGCAAGACAGGCCGCAAATGGGTGTCAGAAATGGCAGCACATTCAACATCACAGGATATCACAGGGTGGTCCCAAAGTGAACGTTGATGAAATTTGATGAACAATGATGAACATTGTTTTGCTTGAATCAAATTCATCCAAATTCAATGGTTGTAACATGTACTCTGAGCTCAGCCAGTCCTCAAATTCAACTCGGATTCAACATTTCCAACTCATTTTCTTCTGCGCGGAGTTCTCCAAGCCGGCTTGTGCGTGGGCAACGGTCTAAAACAGGCTCAGGCCCTAGTGCCACTTTTCTTCCACGTATTTCCCTAACATGGGTGGTTTATGGTGGTTTATGGTGGTTTGATAGGGGCTTTAAATGACTTTAGTATATTTCAATATCTTCAAAATGACTCAACTGAAGGTCTAAGGATGTAGGTGGCCAATCCTGAGCTCCAAAACTTCGGCCATGCTGTGACCGCAGCTCCTCACAACTTCTCCCAAGAAACTCGGTTCACCTTCGAGTGACATCGGCTGCTGCGGCTGGCTTTACACTGTAGAATGCTTCTAGCGTAGCTATGCGTGGCTGCTATTTTTTTAAATCTATTTCTGCATTTTTCTGGGGGACTTTACTGGCTAGACCATGCCAAAATCCAAAACCTGCCAGCACCTAAGATCTCCAACTGAGAGGGTCCCTACCTTGCCCTTGTCATCCAAGGACACGCATACCACAAAGTGAGATCCAGGGCTAGCCTAGCAGAGTCGAAGGTACCACAGGCTGCTTCACAAGACAAATAGACCGCGCTGGAGAAATTCTTCCACATGAGCACTGAGAGAACAACTTGAGCCGAACAATGTTGAAAACTACGAGCTCGTGACTGACCCAGTATGATTTAACATGATTTAACACAGCCAAGTCAGTCCACATGTTCTGCTTCGATTCTTGACTCTTCCGGTTATCGGGACCTCCTCGGACTCAACTTTGCCAATCTGCCAACTCCTGAGCTGGCAAGTGGCAGGCAAGTGGCAGGCTGAGGCAAGCGTCAGCGAATGCAAACCACTAGAAAATCAAAACCACTGGGAAACGGTTCTCAAACAGAATATATGATCTATATACTACCTGTAGGGTAAGATATCTTGACCCTGGCTCTCAATCTGCGCAAGCTCTTCAAGACTGACCAGATCGTCCCCTTCTCTCATTTCCCATTCGAACAAACACAGCCCCTGCACCACTGACTCGAACATACTAAACACGCGGCCCAGCCTATCATGGCCACCGCTGTCAGGCCCACAAATCTGGCAATGGGGGATGCTCTCCCACGTCTTGCTGAAATCAAGCACCACAAAAGGTGAGCTCCGCATTCCGCATCTTTTCTAAAAGTGTCTGTCTACAGTAGCATTGTCTAGCAAGATCGAACAACCATCAACAAACCGTTGAGTAAGATCCATCACCTTGCTGGTTCAACTCCTTGCTGATTTGTGGAAAATCTGCCAGGGTGACAGAGTATTTGTCGTTGGCGCCGGCCTGTCCAAGGGCTTGCTATGTGCAAACCAAACGGGCTATCTGCCTATGCATCTACGAAATTTACTAAATCTATATACCGATTGACTATGACTAGCTTGTCTATCTTACATACATACACACACACACATATATATATATATACTATATATCAACACTTTTCTTGGGATGTGTGAGGAATCATCAAAAAATCCCATACGGCCATGGCTACCAAGATCCTATTGAAAGGATGCTTGCCCAATCAACGTGACCCCCAAAAGACAAACAAACCTGTAAGTTCCGCCCCTCTGAAAAAAACCATGCATATCATCTATGCAATCCATTCCTTGGAAACATTGGAAACAGTGTATGTTCAGGAGAATTAGGCCAGCAACCGCCTACAAGCTGCCGACAGGTGCCTCTTCCATGCTGGGGTAGATCACTTTGTCCCAACCTTTGCCAATCCAGTCGCTCTATGACTGGGTCGAATTTGTTGGGTCGAACTGTCCGTTGTGGTGACCCAAACCCTCAGATCCCTCAGGACTGCAACTTTGGTGCGTTGAGCGCGTTGAGATTGCGGCTGCCATTCTGCAACAGCTGAAAGCAATCCCAGCCTAAACGGGCAGAATCATGCCACTGCTGATGGCAACACCAGGCAAGTTGAGTTCCCTGCCATCATCGCCAACCTCCATTGGAAACACGAAGAGGCCATCTTCCCACCTAAATTCATGGGTGAGCATCAGCATTCGAAACATTCAAACAACATCAAGTGACATCCAGCTGTCGAGCGTGATGCTACAGTAGCATGTGCATGTGCTGAACTTGCATGCAAACACTGTCTCGCTGGGAAAGTCATGGTCCCGCATGGTCCCGCATGGTCCCGCATGGTCCCGCATGGTCCCGCATGGTCCCGCACTCCATCTCGTCTGGAACGAACCCATTCCAGCCTGAAATAGTGGATAAATGTGGACAAATGACAGAAGTGGCCAAGTGAAGGCGGCTGACTCACGCTGCTCAAAACCCTCACTCTGAACTGAGATGATGGCTGCCGGCAATCGACAGCTTGAAAGGGGGCTTCTTGTCTGATGGCCACACCCTGGCAATTGAATGCAATTGAAGCATGTCAAAATCATTTGCCGTTTTCTCCGGTCAGCTGCACTGTGGAAAAACCAAAAGAAGTGGTGTTGGCACCCGGGTTGCGCGATGCCCTTGACATTGTCAAAGGTCTCCTCGCTTGCCGCTTCGGGAGTTGTTTCTTGGGGAGAGATGGGCCATGATGGGCCCACAATCAATGGGTCTCCCTGACCTCCCTGCAATGTCCAAAAGCTCGTTGCTATTCGTTGCTCATCGTTGCTCCTTTCCGTTCATCCCAGCACCGTTGGGGTAACCTCCAGCGCCATCGTGACCTCCATCCAGTCCGTTTGGTGCCTCGCATGGATTTTTCCCTCAGTTGCAAGAGGGGTTGAGTATAGAGGGAAAATGAGGGAAATGCAGTCATACAATGTCATACAGCGATGTGATATGCGAGACATTGCAATATCATGTAATGCGTGTCTATCTGGCAGTGATGTTTCTGACATGATGCAGGTGTGCATGAGGGGCCCACCTGCTCCTTGCTGGCTCTGGCACAGGCCTTAGCTGACACTGGACATGTCTGCCACCGCTGCCCAACTATCCCAACTTTCTTGTCACTGGAAAGTCAAGGCAGCCACCCTGGACAGTCCTCGCCATGTCCTGGCTTCGACAGCGACTGGGAGCAATTAGTTTGTGGACTGACTTTGGCGGTCTCATTTTTTGGGTGTTGCACTTTTTGCAAAGGTTTCTCCCATGATCCCAAATCTACCTCAGTTTCATCAAATTTCAACTTGTTCATTGGCTTGAAGCAGTGTCTGGCGTCTGCTGTTGACACAGTTGCTATCAGTTGCTGGACAACGGCCGGTAACATGTTGGAATTGCTCTGGCGGAGATCGGAGTCCAAGGAGGCCTTCGCAGTGCTGCCATCAGAACCGATAGGATTGAGAACTGCTGATGTTTCAAAGGCTAAGGCTGTTGATCTCTTCAGCAAGTTCGGTGAACTCTGGCTGCTCGACCTCACCGAATCTGCTGAAAGATTCTGCATTTTGTCTGTTCTGGAGGCTTTCCTTTCTTTGGGTCAGGGGAAATTCATGCGTGGTGTTCGGTAATTATGATGTCAGTGGAGTTGGTCACATCCTCAGCATTCAAAGTAATGTATATAACATACACACAGCACCGACATGTACTGAATAAGAAACTTCACTACGTTGAGAGCGCAGCATATGGCCCCATGGCGGCCATCATCTTGTACACGCCGGCCTGCTGAGTTTCACAGTGCTGTGGCATGCTGTGGCATGCTGTGGCTTGTTACCACAACGAACCACGGCATCGCAGGGCGCACCCTGGAACCCTCAAAGCCATACTTTGGTAAAACCACGCTCTGTACCTGGCCAGCTGGAACTACTACAAGTAGTGGAGAATGAAATCAGGGCAAGCCTGTGCAAACCTGGTGCAAACCTGGTGCTAAATTTGCTAAATGTTCTTTGGAACATGGACCCAATTAGGATCCTTTTATTTTGTCGAATTCATCCTACGAGTAGCTCGAGGCATCAGCATCCCGGCTATGGCCTCCAGCATGAGCTCCTGCCTTCTTCGGGCCTTCAAACGTAGCACATGGACCCAACCACGCCCAACCAGTGCCCAGAGGGTTACACCTTCCCGGCATGGAACATATGGAAAACATCTGGAAAACATCTGGAATACATCTGGAAAACCCATGCGATTTTAGAGATGTTTGTTTATGATTTTTCGAGGCCGGGACAAGCTCTCCAGGACCGTCAGCCTTTTTTTCGATCTCCTCGAGTCTTGCCTCGCAACGAGTACGAATTGATGCCGTGATACAATGACCGCTGTGCCGGTGCGGGCCTGGAACTTGTCCTCGGCAAACTGGTCACCTGGCAGAACCAATGAAAATTGCACAAATGATTATAAATATATATATATATAAATATTGAATATATGTAGGTTTCAACCCCCATCATTCCCTTCATCCCAGTCCAAACAACAATGGCACAACATCACCAGAGCTGAACCGGCCGGTCGCACGAAGTTCTGTTTGCAGGCCTCAGACAACAGCCAAGAAAACATCCTCTGGAAACCTAGGGTCTGGTCACATGGCTTTCCTGCCAGTAAGGGCCGCTCTTGTCACCTCCTCGTAGGTAATGGTAGGATCCTGGAACGGCACACTGATATTCTGCCTGACTAAGAACTGCCTTCCCACCATCTCACATTTGATTCTGGAGGTCCTCATCCAGTTCTTCGTCACTGCTTGCTGCCTCAAGCGTGATCACATTTGACCAGAGTTTCAATAAGTTGCATTCCCATAATACTTTGGAACCACACAAGGTGGCTACCGGCCTATCCCGAAATTCAATTAGTTGATTGAAGTTGAACATCAAATATCATGAAACATCATGAAACATGATTAGAAAAAATATAGATAGATATGTATTGTATGAACATATATAACATAGTAGAAACAACTTCAAACAATATAATGATCATAATCATAATGTTTAATAAACATCCACAAAGCGACCAGAATCTGTGGGCCCAGTGATGACGGCTCCTTCCACTAGGCATCCACACCGCCTGGGCCTTGTGGGCGATCAAACCTCTACTGCCCAAGCTGCCAAGGGTGCTGAAGCCACGAATGCCTCCCAGGCCTCGGTCATCATCGGTGGATTTGGTTGGTTTGATATGGTCTGCTTTGGTAAACATATGGATATCATGGATATCATGGACCAATAGCTTAAGATATTGATTTGAAGTGAGTCGAAATGGCAAGGCCGACAATAATGGGTGGTGAAACTTGTTTTCAATGCAAATGGAATGGACAAGTCAGCGACCGCCAAACGTACCAAAGCCACTGCCGGGTACCTCGGATAGTCAGCATAGTCACAAACCAACAGGCAAGCAAACGCCTCGCCAGTGACACATTCATCCCCTTGTGATGATTTGACCCTTGAATGACGTCAAATATCTCAAGTTTTGGCTCCAGCTTAGGGTGGATGGCACCCTTTCCCACCGTAAAGGACACGGTCATTTGATCATCGTCACCATCTGCCAAATTGGTCTGCCAGTCTGCCACATGACTTGGGCCCCCAGCCAATGGTGGAGGTTCCTGAAGCATGCTCAATGCTCACTATGTCTCGTCTGCTCTGCTATGTTCAGTTCCTTTGATCTTGATCTTACTTCAACAGCCATACTCTGAGTTTCCCCACGTCATCCTCTACCATCTTCTGGCGGCCAGGTCGCGGCTTTACTCTGCCAAAGCTGTCTTCAACCATATCTTCTTCGCCTCAGATGAACAAGTTTCCGTCTCTTCTCAGCAATTTTTGGCTGCAATGGCAGGGAAAAGCAACCCATAGAAACGCCTGCCGCTTTGCTGCTTCTGCTCATGTTCACCGCGTCTCTAATGGATTCAAATGGCATCTCTGGGCTTCCTGGGGGTCTCTTACCCCCTTCTCGCTGTTACATGTATTGAACCGTATTGAGCCGCGACTGCATGCCCATCTTTGTGGGAGCAGCCGGAGCAAGTGGTTTTGGGCAAGTGAAACCTCGCTGCAGACCGTATGGAGGCGATTTGTATCTGCAGCTCTGGCAACAATCGCCGAGCTTCGGGATTCTCCGGGTGGACCACCTTAGATCACCTTAGTGGCGTCTTCATCGATCCTTCCCTTCGCAGCCTGGTTGATCCAGCAGCATCCAGCATCTCCAAGAGAAGTGAAGGTGTCCTCAGGACGATCTTATGGCGATTCGCTGCGTCGGGCCAACAGCACTGCCAGGCAAGCATTGAGGCTATCTCCAACACTGGTGGCACGTCCCAAGAATTTCCCCAAAGCTTTGCTGGAGATCTTCAACTGGCTGATGTAGCAACTGGCCGCGGGTTGATGTGGGGCTACGATGTCGGCAGCATCCACCACTTGGCATTTCCTCGAATCTGGGGAAAAAATCACTGTTGAGCTTTTGAGCTTGTTGTTTGCCAAGACCAACAAATCAGTACAAATCATTGTTCATGACTTGGACAAAAGTCAAACACTGAATGGTGGAAAAATGTGGAATGTCATGGCTGTCATGGGGAAAAACAAACTTAACAAATCAAGTTCAACAAGTTCTTTTTGCTCACTTTAACAGGATCCAACCCTAGGGCCACCTTGGGCCACTGCTGCCCAGTGGCCAGTCCAAAGCACTGCTCTGCACCAGCGCGGCTGAGGAGAGGAAACTCTCCGTGAGCTCGTGGAAATCGGCGTCCGCAGCTTCACTGGCTCCCTGCAGCCGGAGGATACCTCAGGCGGTTGGAGGACAAAGCTGGTCTGGGTGATAAGATGTGATAAGTATCTAATATCGTGACTGCATCTTAAATCTGTGAAATGACATGCCCTGTATATATTCGCGAGTGTAGTAATTCAGCATGTAAATAAATGACCCCCCGACTTCTGGGCCCACACTCTCGCTCACTTTGTATGCTGGTTGAGCGAATGCTCGCGCAGAACATGGACACGCAAATTCAGCAGGCACACAAGTGTGCAACCTTTTGCAATATTTACAGTCATGCACAGTGTCAACTACCGCATCCTGTGTGCGAACGAGTATGCACAATTAGTATTTGGATTCATTGAAACATAATCACACATGCCAAAAATCGATATCCAACCTCAAATATGTTCACATAGACTTAGCTCCCTTCATAGATCTCAAACATATTCAAGTCACCCACCCTTCATATTGAAAGATCATGGGACACAAGAATGATAATATGACACTATAAGCAAGCAAACAACACCATCCAACAAATGTCTCTATCCTGTGTAGATCTTGTTGGAACAGTTGGTACATTGCGCATGGTGTAGCATGGTTGTGGCCCAAGCACTCCCTGTGGTATGTTCAAAGCTCCGGTAGGTCTGATCCAACACGCCGATGGCATCCTCCGCAGAGGCCGTGCTGCTGCGAACGCGCAGCTCCAGGGCCCGGATGGCGCTACGAGTCCGTGCCCAACTCAGCGGCTCCAGCTGGGCATCTTGGCGCTCGGGGGTGCGGGCCACCGAGGCCAACCAGGAAGTTGCTGAGCCACCAAGGCTGGAAGTGGACGCAGCTGCTGATTTGAAACTGAAACAACTGCCATGAACGGCCACAGCCACAGAGGCAAGGCGCCGAGAAATTTCGGATGCCAAGATGTTGGCATTGGCAGCAGCCAATTCCAAGGCCATGTTTGGTTCCTCTTCGGGATCGTGCTCCGCCAGGTCCACATTGAGGAAGGCTGCTTTAGAGGCCAAGGTCTGACAGGCGGAATCGTCATAGAGCAACTCGTTGGCGATGGTGAGCACCTTCAGCCGTGTCGGTAGGTGTTGGCTCTGCAACATGGCCTGCAACATTTCATGCAGACCGCAACGGAGGGTCAACGGACATCATTGAATTGGGTACATGTCAAAATCAGGTACCCCATTGTACTCCAAATGCTGCTGGATGATGAATAAACACATGAAATCACACTATCATAATGTCATAATGGTCAAAGTCCACGTCTAAGAGCATGGGACGACATGGGATCTGATTTTTTTTTTGGCACCCATACTATGCTAATCGAAATGTCATCCACACACATTGATATCTGCTGCTTAATTTGCATCCCAACTTATTGCCACCCAGCTTTTGGACGCTTTTGGTAGGAACATCGCTGGCAAGCTCTGGCCTCCAGTGTCTCTGCAACTTGAGCCAGCTCAGAAGCATCACTTGTAGCCCGCTCACAAATCTCCGTAACCAATGGGAAGTCCAACCTTTTCCCAGGCGTCAATGCGTCGGCCAAAAGGGTCGTTGCGGAAACGGCTTCTGTTGCAGCCCTGGCTTCCACCACAGCCTTCAGTCTGGCGACAAAGACCCGCCTTTGGGCAGAGATCTTGGAGGCATCTTCCTGAAAAGTCTTTAATTTGTTGCTTCCCCGTTCCAGTTCTTGGACCACAATCCTTGGATCGGGCCATTGCCTCTGCCAAGATGAATCTGGCAGCAACATGCCGTCAGCCGTTGACTGACACTTCTTGGCCAAGGCCTTCGCAGCAGTCAAGGCCTGGTGCGTCTCGCCATGCACGTTGAACAAGGTGTCCGCATCGGTGTCCTCCAAACAGAGGATCTCCTCATAGAGGCGATTGAAGGTCGTGCCAAGGTCCTGGAATCCATGAGCACTGGAAACATGTTAAACGCATATAAAATGCATATTAAAAGCAAGCATCATCAAATGTCCATCTCAGTTGCAGTGCCCAACGTGGTCTCTCATGTCCAGGAAAATCGTGAGGAAATGCAGATGCAGTGGCAGCTTCCCGGCTTCTCTGAAATTGCAATGTTGTTTGTATTCACAGGTAAGCTTGGCTTGGATGCTGCTCTGATGACTAAGACTAAGAATTCTTCCAAATTTTAACATGAACAAATTATAACAAATTAACAAAGATGCCACACGACATGGTGTCAGCATGCATCCAGTACGATTACCCACAACATTTCACAACATTTTTCCACCGTTCACGACGTCTCCTGAACAGCAGCATGCTGTGAAATCAACAGCACGGCAACGATGGCAAGGCCTTCTATCCCATCACGGCAAAAGCTGACGCTGGCCCAAACGTTGCAGCGAAGCTGACTGAAGTCTTCTGACTCAGGATCCCGACTTGCTGACCAGAAAAGACCTATGGCAATGTGGGCAACACGGCCATATAAAAAAACTTAGAACAAATCCCAAAAATATGGCAAAATATGTCAAAATATGTCAAGGGCAAATATTTATCGTGGGTCGCATGTCACCATGACATCCATGACATCCATGACCACAGGATACAGGTATCCGCAGGTGACCATGGTGGCCCTGCCTTGGATCCTTTCCACCAGCGTCTGTTGTGAAAGGGAAATGAAGTCTGGATCGGACTTGATGCGGTCGATGGCATGGATCGAAGCTGCCCGAACACTTTCAGGCTCCAAACGATCAAAGGACAAATCAACTTCAAGGCCACAGAGTTTGGTTGCTTCTGGGATGTCGAAGTTGGTTGCTTCATCGGCATCCACCTTCTCCACTAGATAGACCAGGCCAGCTGTTCGTGTGCTAATCCATCCGAAGATGTACTTCAGCTGTGTCTGCACTCGCGCTCGTTGGCGTCCAACCTCCGAAGAATCAAATTCCAGAATCTTCAGCAAGGTGCCCGGTGGATATTCACAAATCCATTGGCTGCTCAAGGCCCTGCCAGTTCTCAAGGTTGCCGGGCTCACCACCCGACAAACATCATCCAGCTGCAAGGTCTCCATGGTCAAATCACATTGTGCCCAATGGCACCATGGGCACCGGTTGCTGTGATGGGACAACGGCACATACCATGCCACCAGCAGCGACACATGGCGATCTCCATTTCAAGGACTTTGGGCCTTTCATAAAATACATACAAATGCCGCAACATGGAAATTGATGAAGTTGCATTCTTCCAAGAAGGTTCATTGATCGACCGGCTTTAAAATAAATGTAAATCAACATGGACGAAGTTGTGAGGATGCTGTGAGGCAATCCTGGCAAATTAATGCGGATATGTGAAGCGTACATTACGTTGATGTCTTTTGCGGATTTGTATACTGTTTATATGCATCGATTCCCCTGCACTTGTTCCCGCACAATTTTGTTCTTCAGTACATGCTAAAGTCTTCGCTGGGTGTGCAGCAGCCAGACTCTTCTTGTTCGTTTTCTTCTTCTTCCTCCTCTTCTCCTCTTCTTCTCTTCTTCTCTTCTTCTCTTCTTCTCTTCTTCTCTTCCTTTTCTTCTCTTCTTCTCTTCCTCCTCTTCTTCTCTTTTTCTCTTTTTCTCTTCTTCTCTTCTTCTCTTCCTCCTCTTCTCCCTCCTCCCTCCTCTTCCTCCTCTTCCTCCTCCCTCCTCTTCCTCCTCTTCCTCCTCCCTCCTCTTCCTCCTCCCTCCTCTTCCTCCTCTTCCTCCTCCCTCCTCTTCCTCCTCCTCTTCCTCCTCTTCTCCCTCCTCTTCTCCCTCCTCTTCTCCCTCCTCCTTCTCCCTCCTCTTCTCCCTCCTCTTCTCCCTCCTCTTCTCGCTCCTCTTCCCCTTCCTCTTCCTCTGCCTCTGCCTCTGCCTCTTCCTCTGCCTCTGCCTCTGTCTCTCCCTCTCTCCCTCTCTCCCTCTCCCTCTCCTTTCTCTCTCTCTCTCTCTCTCTCTCTCGCTGTGCGCTTTGCTTTTTTCACCCACTTGTGTTCATTCTGCGACATCTAAGTTTCAGACTCACTTTTACCAAACCACTCGCCTTGCAAAGGAGGCATGGTTCATGGTACCAGTGGAGAAGAATCTGGTGTTGCACCTTCTGGACCCGACATGCCTTTGCGTAGGCCAAGAAACCGCTTTCGTTGAGGGCAGGGCAGCGTTGTCGAAGTCAACCCCAACAATTGTGAGTTGCCTGCAAGTTTCCAGAATTCGCCAAAATCCAATCTGATTTTCTGAGTCCTTCTAAACTGACACCCAAACGCATGATGCAGTGTGCATCCAAATTTCGGCAAACCAGGGAGTACAGCCTGAAACAATGTTCGGAAATAAACCTGAATAAACCATTGACATCTTATCTTTGCTGATGGAATCTGATGTAGGAAAACGAACCTGGAGAACCCTGCATGACCCTGGAAGACCCTGCACCGCTTTACAATCTAGACTAGACAAATATCCAGACCATTGAAGGCTGGTGAGCTTTGACCCAATGAATGACAATTCAACATCTTTCAGCCTGGTGTTGTCCACAAACTCGTCGTCACGGAAGGCAGAGTATGTCCCCCCACCGTTCCGGACCTTGAACGGACAGAAGGACCAGCAGAACTTTACATCCATCTGATATACCAAGTAGTTCTGAATTGTTTTGCACAACGACTATCTACCATGGATGATTGGAATCCCCAATTATGTGCCAATTTTGGAAGACATTCATCTTTTCACCGGTGGCATTGCGATCATCTGATCCAAGAATTTAAGGATAAGCTGACAAAGCCGCAGGCCAAATGAATAGAGCGAGGATCGCAATCCAAATGCCTGGAAGTGTCGTTGGTAGAACATCGCCTACAAACATGATATTGATACCCTAAAACAAATGGTACTGGATCAGGGGGGTTCATGGTTTTTGTTTTCTATTGCGTTGATATGTGTTTGTCAATGTTTCTTTGCAATTTCAAAAATTCCACTCATTCCGGAATTCTCACACATCGATCTGCGGTTTAACTTTTCTAAACAAAAACATTCTCTATTGAGATGACCAAGGGCTGCAGTCACAAACGCGGATATGTGTTCATGCACACCTTTTCCAAATTCTAATTCTAATGAATCTGTTATATAACCAATTTTCCACATTTTTCCTTTCTACCTTTCAACCTTTTTATCAACTCTCTGCGCTTGGAGTTTTATTTTGCCAATGTCCTTAACAATTTTTGCTACTTACGAAAAAATGTGGTGCTGAACTTGGAAATGTACAAACGTGCTGCCTCAACGTCTTGCCTGTCGGTCTCAACATGAAAAACTCTCATTCACGCGCGAATGTCTATTCCACGGGCGCCTTGAAAGCGCAACTTTCAGGTGGCAAAACCTCGTGGAAAAACAATCGAAAAACACATGCAACCGGACAGGCAATCTGAAGACCGAACCAACACTGCCGTTAAGGGTCTTATATATGATGGGAAACCAACCCTAGCAGCACTGAGCGCTGGGCTTTGCGAACTCAGGTGTGAGGATCCGAAGCTCGCCCTGAGCCGACGCGATTTCGATCGATTTCGTCTCTAGAATGTTATGCAGCAGCTGCTGACACTGCCACGTTCCCCCGCTGCTTGTGTTGGGTGGCAAGCTGTGACCTCCACAACCTCGACGAGTTGCCAAAAAATAGGGATCAATTGCGAAATTGTCGCAATCTGGCCGAATGCTAATGCAAAACTGGAAAATGCATAAACATGATCAACACAGCAAAAGGACCAACTGCCAGGTATCATGCAAGGCAATAACAAACATATTCACTTACGTATGGATTTGTAGCGGTCACGACGCAACATCCTGAAAATTTACCGGTTGTTTAAATCATGGTCACAGTCACAGTCACAGACATGCACAGAGAACACGTGTCACACTTTCTGGTATGCCTCTGTATGAATTCTCTGTCATATTTTGTACCCATCTTTTGGACAACGTTGATGTTCAACATAAGTATTCAATGATGCAATCAAAACTAAAAATTGTTTCTGCGCGCCCCACCATTCGGCGGCAACCCCACCACAAGCGGACCCAGCTGCCCGCGTCTCTTGAACCGGACACGCAATAAACGGTCCCCGACCCGTGAGAACATGTCTGCAAACAATGATCAATGTGGGCCTTAATTGTTCAACTCAACACCCCCAAAATTTGCAGTGCATGCATGCTGCCCAAACCGCTGAACCCAGGCTAATTTTGTGGAATTAATCATGATGCAAGCGTGTGCGGGGGCACATCACCATCTGCACCAATGATCTGCAATAACATGTGTGGCTGGCCCGCCCGTGTGTAGGAGATAAAAAATGTGGTTTTGGTTTTTCCAGGCTTTGTTTAATCACCCAACACTTAAAATGTGGATTCTATCGAGGGGTCCTGCTAAACGCGGAAACATTTGTAATTTGATTTGTTCCAAAATTGTTATTTCCACGGTTGTTACAGGATGTTTGGATTAAAGGAATTCTCGAGACTTCTCGATTTTTGAAACTGATGTCTTTGTAACTTTTAGCTCACAAAAATCAATCTTTCGAGGCTTCTGCTAAGTGTATGCGACTTGCAAGAGTACAGGCAAATTGACTTGCAACACTTTGTAGCTACACACAAATAATTTCCAATACTTTTAGTCACAACATATTTGTACCCAAATGGAAACTGATTGCTTTGTAGCCCGGAAAATGATGAGGTTTCCTAAGTTTTGTCATGTTGTTCAAGCAACATACTTAAAATGTATGACGGCTAATCCCAGTAACGATAAAATTGTTCTAAGGTTTTGCCGGGACTTCTTTTCTTGACATGGAGCCGGGCACAAAACAACAACCACAAAAAAAATTTGTTGGCATGATCAAGGTTAAACGCCGACGTATTTTCTGCCAGACGATAAGGCGATTAAAAAAAACGCGCGCGCGCATTACCATAAAAAATATATGTCAGGGAAGGCCGGCCCGAACACAGAACGAGGAACGGAACGGGAACGGAACGGGAACAGAACGGGAACGGAACGGAACGCGCACACGCGAAATGCCTGTTCAACATCTGCGGGATTCGCGGCTTCCATATGCATTTCTAGCCGCTGGCAAAAAGCAGATGGCAATTCATAACAGTTATCTCCTGCATTTGGTCATTCCATCTGCATTTAGAGCCGCTCGCACAATGCAAGTGGTTTCTTTTGCGTTCAGTCCTTTCAGACAGGAAAACCAATTGGCTTCCTTCAGTAACATATTTGCATTCTGCTACTGTCACAAAATGCAGCTGGGAACTTTGGATTGTGGGACACGGTCATTTGCATTTCTAGCTGCTGGCAAAAGGCAGATGGCAATTCATAACGGTTATTTCTGCATTTGGTCATTCCAATGCAAGTGGTTTCTTTTGCGTTTAGTCGTTTCAGACAGGAAACCCAATTTGTTTCCTTCAGTAACATATTGGCATTCTGCTACTGTCACAAAATGCAGCTGGGAAATGCGGATTGTGGGACACGGTCATTTGCATTTCTAGTTGCTGGCAAAAAGCAGATGGCAATTCATAACGGTTATCTCCTGCATTTGGTCATTCCATCTGCATTTAGAGCCGCTCGCACAATGCAAGTGGTTTCTTTTGCGTTTAGTCGTTGCCGATAGGAAAACCATTTGGCTTTCTTCAGTAACATATTTGCATTCTGCTACTGTCACAAAATGCAGCTGGGAACTTTGGATTGTGGGACACAGTCATTTGCATTCCTGGCGGCTGGCAAAAAGCAGATGGCAATTCATAACGGTTATCTCCTGCATTTGGTCATTCCATCTGCATTTAGAGCCGCCCGAAAAATGAAAGTGATTTCTTTTGCGTTTAGTCGTTTCCGATAGGAAAACCATTTGGCTTTCTTCAGTAACATATTTGCATTCTGCTACTGTCACAAAATGCAGCTGGGAAATGCGGATTCTGGGACACGGTCATTTGCATTTCTAGCTGCTGGCAAAAAGCAGATGGCAATTCATAACGGTTACCTCCTGCATTTGGTCATTCCATCTGCATTTAGAGCCGCTCGCACAATGCAAGTGGTTTCTTTTGCGTTTAGCCGTTTCAAGCAGGAAACCCACTTGGTTTCCTTTAGTAACATATTTGCATTCTGCTACTGTCACAAAATGCAGCTGGGAACTTTGGATTGTGGGACACGGTCATTTGCATTTCTAGCTGCTGGCAAAAAGAAGATGGCAATTCATAACGGCTATCTCCTGCATTTGGTCATTCCATCTGCATTTAGAGCCGCCAGCAAAATGCAAATGGTTTCTTTTGCCTTTAGCCGTTTCAGACGGGAAAACCAATTGGCTTCCTTCAGTAACATATTTGCATTCTGCTTCCGTCACAAAATGCAGCTGGGAACTTTGGATTGTGGAACACGGTCATTTGCATTCCTAGCGGCTGGCAAAAAGCAGATGGCAATTCATAACGGTTACCTCCTGCATTTGGTCATTCCATCTGCATTTAGAGCCGCCCGCTATTTCCTGCATTTGGTCATTCCATTTGCATTTAGTGCCGCTCGAAAAATGCAAATGGTTTCTTTTACGTTCAATCGTTTCAGACAGGAAACCCAATTGGCTTCCTTCAGTAACATATTTGCATTCTGCTACTGTCACAAAATGCAGCTGGGAACTTTGGATTGTGGGACACGGTCATTTGCATTCCTGGCGGCTGGCAAAAAGCAGATGGCAATTCATAACGGTTATCTCCTGCATTTGGTCATTCCATCTGCATTTAGAGTCGCCCGAAAAATGAAAGTGATTTCTTTTGCGTTTAGTCGTTTCCGATAGGAAAACCATTTGGCTTTCTTCAGTAACATATTTGCATTCTGCTACTGTCACAAAATGCAGCTGGGAACTTTGGATTGTGGGATACGGTCATTTGCATTTCTAGCAGCTGGCAAAAGCATCTGTCGTTGCATAAAGACCACTTTCTGCATGCGGGCATTGTATTTGCATTTTGAGCCGCCTACACTTTACACGCATGGCATCATTTTGTCAAACCAATGACATATCTGCATTTTGCTACTGTCACAAAATGCAAGTGGGAACTGCGGATTGTGGGACACGGTCATTTGCATTTCTAGCTGCTGGCAGAAAGCACATGGCAATTCATAACGGTTATTTCCTGCATTTGGTCATTCCATTTGCACTTAGTGCCGCTCGAAAAATGCAAATGGTTTCTTTTACGTTTAATCGTTTCCGAAAGGAAACCCAATTGGCTTCCTTCAGTAACATATTTGCATTCTGCTACTGTCACAAAATGCAGCTGGGAACTTTGGATTGTGGGACACGGTCAGTTGCATTTCTAGTTGCTGGCAAAAAGCAGATGGCAATTCATAACGGTTATCTCCTGCATTTGGTCATTCCATCTGCATTTAGAGCCGCTCGCACAATGCAAGTGGTTTCTTTTGCGTTTAGTCGTTTCCGACAGGAAAACCAATTGGCTTCCTTCAGTAACATATTTGCATTCTGCTACTGTCACAAAATGCAGCTGGGAACTTTGGATTGTGGGACACGGTCATTTGCATTTCTAGCTGCTGGCAAAAGGCAGATGGCAATTCATAACGGTTATTTCTGCATTTGGTCATTCCAATGCAAGTGGTTTCTTTTGCGTTTAGTCGTTTCAGACAGGAAACCCAATTGGTTTCCTTCAGTAACACATTTGCATTCTGCTACTGTCACAAAATGCAAGTGGGAACTGCGGATTGTGGGACACGGTCATTTGCATTTCTAGCTGCTGGCAGAAAGCACATGGCAATTCATAACGGTTGCTTCCTGCATTTGGTTATTCCATCTGCATTTAGTGCAGCCCGCAAAATGCAAATGGTTTCTTTTGGCGTTGCGTTCTTTCAGACAGGAAAAGCAATTGGTTTCCTTCAGTAACATATTTGCTTTCTGCTACTGTTACAAAATGCAGCTGGGAACTGCGGATTGTGGGACACGGTCATTTGCATTCTTACCTGCAAAACACAGATGGCAATGCATAATGGTTGCCTTCTGCATTTGGTCATTCCATCTGCGTTTAGAGCCGCCCCCAACATGCAAGTTGTTTCTTTTGCGTTTAGTTGTTTCCGACAGGAAAGCTGGAAAACCAATTGGCTTCCTTCAGTAACATATTTGCATTCTGCTACTGTCACAAAATGCAGCTGGGAACTTTGGATTGTGGGACACGGTCATTTGCATTTCTAGCTGCTGGCAAAAGCATCTGTCGTTGCATAAGGACCACCTTCTGCATGCGGGCATTCTATTTGCATTTCTAAAGTTTAAAAATTAGACGCATGGTATCATTCTGTTCAACCAATGACATATCTGCATTTTGCCATGTCAGAAAATGCAACTGGGAACTATGGATTGCGGGACACGGTCATTTGCATTTCTAGCTGCTGGCAAAAAGCAAATGGCAATTAACAACAGTTATCTCCTGCATGTGGTCATTCCATCTGCAATTAGAGCTGCTCGCACAGTGCAAGTGGTTTCTTTTGCGTTTAGTCGTTTCAGACAGGAAACCGAATTGGTTTCCTTCAGTAACATATTTGCATTCTGCTACTGTCACAAAATGCAGCTGGGAAATGCGGATTGTGGGACACGGTCATTTGCATTTCTAGCTGCTGGCAAAATAAAAAACAATCAATAACGGTTACCTCCTGCATCTGGTCATTCCATCTGCATTTAGAGCCGCCCGCAAAATGTAAATGGTTTCTTTTGGCGTTGCGTTCTTTCAGACAGGAATGCCAATTGGGTTCCTTCAGTGCTGTTTCATCATCAGCTACACCAAGATCCTTGTTTGTTTTGCTTTGCGCAAGCAAGTGCCGTTCCGCAAGCTACGCGCATGAAACATGTCGATGCGCACCACAATTTGCGAATGCTGCACGCGCCGTGGAAAAACCACCAGACGAAGAGATGAAACCGCTTGCACATGAGATGTTCTGGATGAGTGAGTACGTTCTTTCCCTAAACCTTTCCAAGTTCCGGGAGGCAAACCAAAAACCACTGCGACGTCCTACGCGTTAATTACAAATCTAGCCTTCAACCGGGGAAACTGAACCAGTATAGTATCTGCAGATGAGGCTATCGCCACGGTATAATACGGTATATCTATAAG